TCAAGATGAGTTCACATATGCGGACGTAACTTTTACTGATCTCAACCGTTTTAATTAATCTCTCTTAATCTCTTCCACCCCATTAACTATATGTATCCATGTGCGCCTGTTTGCCCTGAGCTGGAATATGAATATGAACCAGAACGAGTATAACGTCTTTCCCAATACAATATAACAATATTTTTAGATATACGTATGGAAGGAATATAAAACAATTGTGACTAGCTCTTGGCTCACTAAAAGGAGTTCGGACTAGAGTTTTCGTACTTACATTTTTCTGCATTGATTCTTCTTATATAGAACAAAATAAAAATGGAATAAATCCAATATAAGAATGTGCTCCTCCTCTGGAGTCGACTACTCTACCCAAAGGTCAGGCTCAGGCTCAGGCCCCTGTGCCAACTTTGGCTATAAGGCATACAAACTTGTCTAATAGAAATGCTCAACATGCGAAAAAAAAACATCTATTTAATCCACTTGAATCATTAAAATCCTTTCTTATAGCCTACATCCCTGACGAAAATTATTTACTTGGTTGTGAGTCAGCTTAGCAAAGAGTTTTAGGTACATAATATAGAATTGTTATAAAATGGGCCTTTCAATTGCCTATTTATGTTGTTAATTTTTTTCTATACAAACGGTAATTTGTGCGAACATCAAAGAAACCATGGCGAAGACCACCAAGCCAAATGAATTTTCCACTTTGATCCCGCCGTATCGAGGACCCTCATTGTAGTTGCTAATCGCACCAGGTGACGGATGCGTCGGCTTGACAGAAAATAGTGCTACGGCGGCGTACCCGAAGTGACAAGAGAATAGTTTTGAGGTGTCTCTTTTCGTACGCTGCGCATTGTGAGAAAAGTAGCAGTTTCCTCCTTTTCGCCTGCCTTTGTGATTTCGCTTGTTCGAACATTTTAGGATACGTGTTGCACCTCTGTTTGCGATGGGCAAAACAAGGCAGCCCTTGATTTGCTTTTAAAGTGCCGTCGAATTTAGTAGAGCTGGGACCACCAGTAACGCTTTTAAAACTATAGATGATACCTGAACACATTGTTTTTCAAATATCTTCAACTTATTTAAAGTTTTCTACCCTTGTTTTTATTTTTATCCAAGTTTGCTTTTTAGCTAAAAGGTTATTTCTGTTTTTTAGTGAGTTTAGATATAGCTTTCAAATAATAATAAATAATCATGATCATTGTCTCAACTAAATCTGAATATGATGAAAAACCAATTGGCAGTAAAGCAATATTTCTGATATTTGATATATCTGATCCCAAAACTCTTACCATAACCTTACTCTTGCTCTTTTTTTCGAAATAGATTCATAAAATATGCTTATTATTGTGCGATTATTATTTAGATTTTGGACATTTTTTTCTGCCATGCATCCTCATTGTTTTCGCTTCTCATATTTTTTGCTCCGACACACGGAATACATCCCACATACACATGTATCTACACCTCATACCTTATTACCTAGATGCGAGTGCGGCGATGTCGACAGCTGCGGCCCATTTGAGACGGTTGATTGGTTTTCTAATAGGACTAATCCTGGCTGCATTTTGCTTTTAAATTGATTCGTTTCAGTTGGTTAAGATTCAATAATGAGCTCATCTGCACGTAGCCAAATCGTAGTCAAGTCGTTTGTTTGATTTGCCAATGTTCCAGGTGTTTGAGCAAGAAATTTCAATTTTTCCGCTAGTATTTTGGCCTTGTCATTTCTTTTCAATCAATTAAGGTAGTTGTCTCCTGTTTATAGATCGCATCCATTCAAAAGGTGACTTAAATGTATAATGAGTAAGTGAAGAGCCCTCGACTATAAAATATCCTGGACATGTTTTTTGTATTCGAGCATTGAGAGACTTGTGATATTATTTGCACAAGCTCAGGCTGGCCATGAACCTTATAAAGTTTTCATAATTATAATAATTGAACCTGCAAACAAATATTTGTTTCCTATTGATCGCGAAGAGGATTTCATATTGATAAATGTTCAAACATATTTTATATTTTTGGCTAAATTATTTGGTTCTCGATTATGAATAAATTCATAAACTTCTTTGTTTTTCAGACAGTACAATATCCGATCGCAGGCTGAGAATTGTCTACTTCCTTGAGAAAAAGCACCGTAATTAAGAGAAAATATTAAAGCAATTGGAAGTACTCGACTAGGAGATATTGAGCAGCTGTTAGAAGCATTCTAGTTTCCTTTTATATTTACACACAAAAGTCTACATATACGGATCTGCTTCTTCTTTCTTAGCCACCAACTATAGGAAACGTACTCATAATTGACTCAGGTGCTCAAAGTCCGATCTTCATTACATTTTGAGGGCTTTGATACGGCATACAAGATTGTTTATATACAACACTGCAAGGCTTTATATTTAAAAATTAGATTTTTATTCAATTTTGTCGAGAAAAAAGAAAGTGAATCCGTTTGTATCTATAACTTTCGAGCTTATGCATAAAGAGCCATATCAATTCTCATCAATGTTATGAAAATGAATAGACATAATGAACAAATATTGATTAGTTTCGAAAATCGACGCGTTCATACAGATGAATATAGCTAGATCTGCTTAGCTCAATGGTCAGATGTATATACTTTATGGAGTCGAAGATTTAAAGATGCTGTGACGAGTTAAAGGGCTTGTCGTAACTACACTTTGCAAGTATCAAGAAACTAAATCAATTTTACGCTAATATTATTCGTTCTCGAGCCCAAGTGCTTTGAACAATTCTATTGGAATTGGATGACAAATTTAGGTGAGCGTTTAAATTAAAATTTTCACAGTACGCACTTCGTTCGTGCCAAGTTCCATTTCGTATGGTTCGACTTTGAATAGTTTATCTTTGGTTACCTTACGAGCATACACAGGAAAGTGGGTACACATAAGTAGAACACAATATTATCGGATGAGAGCAATACATCGTCACCCATTTGGAACAAATTGATTTTCCTGAACGGGCGACAAAGTCGTTTACAGAAGATATTGTGCACAGTTTCTGGGTACGTGATCTTTGTACCATAATTAAGAATACGAAGGCTCATGCGTTGCAAATTGGAACTTGAAACAAAACATCCCAGTTGGCATGGGTACACGCCGGCCTAGGTATCTCCTTTCACACAGTGTGCACAATGGTAACCTGAGCATAAAGGAGGTACACGCCACATAGCTCGGAGATTTGTGATTCCTATTCGTACATGCAGTTGTTTATGGGTTTTTGGGACTTGTCAATGCATTTGCTGGCTGGACTTTTTGACAGTTATTCATTTTATTTCTTAGAAATAAACCTATGTTAAATCAATTTGTTCCAAATCGTTGAAATTCAATTGCTAAGTCAGTTTCGTTTCAGCTGTTCGACACGAACTATTTCGTATTTTACGCTCCTTTTACCACGGGCTTACCTCAAATAGATATTTAAGTGAAATAGTGGCGCGCTTATTTAAAATGTTACCGAGAAAATTGCAATTTTCACGATTATTTTAATTTCCCTTCTCTCTTCAATTGCCCAATTTACACTTTTTACAATGACATTTTCCTATGGGTTATTTTGATGATTGTAATATATAAAGAGAAGAAGTTATCATTGGGCTGGCGAGGATTTAATATGTTTGCAGACATATATCATTCCAACGTATATGATTACAGACAAAAATTCTATTTCAGACCAATTGTGTCTATTAGAGATATGTGCGATATGCAAAGTGTAGGTAGTAATTGCAAAGTTTGGTTAAGATATTTACAAAGGGTTTTTATATAGCAATCATAGGATTGATATATTTTACCTGCTTGCCGTAATAGGGTTCATTTTAAACAAGATTACTTTAAATCGGAGACCAGGGTTTGCATAGAAATAAGCATACTGAAGCGTAAAGCTATATCAACTTGACTTTCGATCAAAGGCGATCGTCGCCATGATTTCATAATATCTATTGATTTTCTTTGGATTGCTTCTATCGGAGCTGTTATAAATTATTTGTTATATGGCTTTTAAGGTGGCTGTTGCTTTAAGCGCCATATATAGCATGAATTCGTTTAATTTCTCAATTCGATGAATTTATATACACCTTGCTGTCGGTGAATTTTCTATTAACGAAAATATATTCCAGAATTCTTACATAAACATTACATTCAAATACACTGCCATCTTCGCTCGCTAGGCGGTGGTTAAAAATGATAGTGTTTATTGTTTGCAAGTTTTTTGAGATGATAAAAAGTCATTGAAAAGAGAACAAATCAAAATGCGGAAGACGGTGAGCGAGACATATAAAGAGATATCTCCAAACCTCTCAATTATGTATGCTTGATCAGTATAAAAAACTCAACCAATAGAGCAATACTCGTCTATGATATAATAGCTAAATCACAGAAATTCATAGATCGGTATTTTAGTCAGTTGATTCGGATCACTCTATCATAAAGCTGCCACTATCAAAATTTCTTAACCAATTAAGGGCTTCATTACGATCGCTTGAAGTCTTTTAAATGTAAACATTTCTGCATATGAAAATATGAAGCACATCTAATAAGTTTCTGCAAGGGTATTTACTATCCGGTGAGTCGATAGATATAAATTCAGTTCAGTTGCCTTCATAGGTTTGTAAATATGCGTTGCGGGAGTAGTGGAGGGTCAATAGTTGGTCAAACATTCTGCGTCAGCAAACATAAATCAGAGAGAATAGTCCTCATCTACATATGGGTGTGTACAATCCATAAATATTTATTAATCAGATTGACTCGATAGCATTTCTTCCTTGTTACTTATGTATGTACATATGTATGAAAGATCAGTTATTTATATGTATGTATGTGCGCGAGCCCGTGACCCACAACCAGGTAAATTTCCTTACCTGCCGGAACACAAAATGAGGGATGAAAACTCCCGCAATTGCGTACGCAGTGTGCACAGAAATTGTATAAAAGGCGAGCTCGGCAGCAAAAATCTATCATTCTTACTACAGCTCTTATAGAGGCCGGATCAGTATAAATATATATAACTTGAAAAATGATTGGCGAAAACATTCAACACGGAAATACCGTCGAGTATGCCGAAAAACGATCCTCTACGGGTGCTGTTGTGAACCTGAAGAAACTATTGAGGACGGTTACACGCATTTTCAATCTCTCAAAGCCCAAAAACATGGCAACGGATGAGACCGGCATCAAATCCTCAGCATTTGCGACAGAGGAGGAACTTCAAAATTGGCTCAACGAACAGCTCGAACTCAAAGAGATGTCGCTACGCTAATGGAAATCTGCAGAAGTTCCGGACAACCTGTGATGGGACTTGTGTTGCGGCACGATTCCAAAACCGGCGAAAGGCTTTAAATAAGTTCTGTGATAGCGAGAGTACGAGACTGAAATCATGGCTCTTGCCATTTGTACAATATTAATAGCTCATTAATTAGCCTAAGTACCTGATCATTGTCTTCCATCAGCTTTAAGTAATTGTCTTCATGAATAAAATCATATATTGACAAAAAATATGTTTGTTGTTTTGCTTCATATCTCTTTACATATTATGTTTGACGAATTTAGAAAAACTATATTTGGAATTAGATTCATATTGTTACTAAATGAATATTCTGAGTAACTTACATAGAGGGCAACCTTTACAGAAAACAAGTTTGCTTAAAATTGATTTCCTTGCAGTTAAAAATGATTAGATCCCTAGATCTAACTCATTATAATTCTAATTTTTCCATTTTTAATCCATTTAAAATTTTCATGAATTGGTAAAAATCCAGAAGGCGCCTCTCACCTCTGAGATTATATATATGTTTCTATTCAGCATCAACTGATTCAATCGGACAAAACTATATGCCTGCCTGTCTATATGGGCTCAGAGATATCAGAGTATATAAAAGTTAGAAAATATGTACACATGAAAATTCCCATATACCAAATGCAGCTTAAGACTATTACATATTATATAAAAAATATGTATGGCTTACCCGAAATCAATTCAGCTTCAAACAAATGCAGAAATGAACCAAAAATATGTGTTGCATATTTATGAGCTCTGAATAGAGTATTTTTTGCGGTGTGTGTTAATGTGTGTCCCGGAGCTGGACACTTCTGATACTATCAACGACAGAAATCAAGATTTGTATATGTCCACGAAAGTAAGCCGAAATTGATGCAACAAAACTTCAACTAAAGCACTTTAACATGTTTGTATAATAAGCCTCGTCCGTGTATTTAAAAACAGCGCCAATTTTAATCGGAATGCCAACTGAAATAAAAGTGTTATATGGTAAGATTGGTCACACTTAAGTATCGTTTACAGTATCGCTAAATATCGTAGAACAATCGATAGTACAATTATTTTCTCGGTCTGCCAACCTACGTTACAACTTTTCAAATGTGAATTTTGCGCCAAACGTTAACGTTAAATTTAAAAAACCAAACTCTCGAGCAATAAACTTATTTTCAACTGTTTACGTTCGTAGTTTATGCCATTTTTATGACTTAATTTTGAATAATATGTATAATACTGAAGCTCGTATTTGTTGAGTTCCGTAAAGATATTTAAGAAACATAACATTTTGCCATGCAAAAACTTAAAAGAGCTACATGATAAAGTATGTAGCTACATGTTAAAGTACGTAGCTCTTTTAACTTTAAGTAAAATGTTGATGGGGATAGGCATATTCCCAGTTTAGATAAGATTTCTTGAAAAGCAACAAAGTTGTTCATAAAATAACCTTATTTTCGAGCATTTGTTCCTATGGCAGCTATAAGATGGGGAGAGAGAGGCATTGATGGGCAAAGGGGAACGGTTATATCGGATGTTGATCCTAATCAAGAATACATATTCATGTATTCATACATACTCATGTATTCTTGATCAGCATCAATAGCCGAGGGGAGATATCTTCTTCCACGCGTTACACATTTTACGATAAAATTATATTACCCACAAGTATTTAACAAATTTTATTAAAAAAAGTACACGTCAAAGAGAGAAAGTTATTTGAAGAGCCGCTCTCAAACTGTGAATCTTTAGTACCTTGACTGCGGCAGAAAATATTGAACATATTTAATTTGCTAACTTTTGGGGTGGTCAAAGAAACTCTTGTTGCGAAGTAACTTAAGAAAAAATAAAAGTGAAAACTTCGTATGCGCAATTGTAAATAGTGCAAAGAAGTTGACCGAAAATTGAAATATTGATTGGTTTGTTAAAACGGTTTATTTTTTTCAACGCTTACATTAAAAATTGCATTAACAATATATATTGAATATAACTATTTAAAGGTAATGCTTTATTATATTCAATATATGTTTAAGTGCACTTAGTTTTCAATATTTATGTGTCGTGTGGGTGTTTTAAAGTTCCTGTCTATTACCGCGATTCTTGAAAAATATGGGACTTCAATGAGAGCGCAATTGGAAGATGATATGTAGGAAGTCTGTATAAGAGCTTTAGATTCGTGAATGCATTCATATTGTATAGTATAGTTACAGTATCCACCAGTGGCATTTAAGTCTCTTCTAGTTACCAACTTAATATCCATCAAAAAACATGTATATGTAGTATAAACGGAGGACAAATGCGGAACACAAAATTAACGGAAGATTGGGGAATGGAAGCCAAGTTGGGTGCAACGGAACTGCGCACACACATAGTTATCTATGGGTGTTATCTTTTATATCATAATAATTTGGTTTGAATTTACCAGTGAAACGGAAATTTGTTCTAGTTTTGTTATAGCTAGAGTCATCGATCAATTCTTGGGTTATCTAATATAATAAGCCAATGGGATGCTGGCCAATTGATATTGTGTTAAAAAAGCAAGCGAGGCTGCACAACCCGAATACCCGTGGGAGAATCTCTACTGATAATCGACGGAGTCACTGTCCAGCAACGTTGAAGATACCTGCGAGATGCGCCGATGCCAGTAGTCCTGATAGCTCGCATCGTGTTGTGCAGCAGAGCGCCACGGTGGCCATTTCAGCTATTCCTCGACAATGTCCCACACCATGAGCGAAGCGTCTGTTCCACCCACAGTGATGAGTGTGTGATCTCCGCATAAGAAGCGCACACAGGCCAGCATGCCCGAGTAGACCTTGGACTCGTGGAATTCGGCACGGGGCGAGATGCAGGGATATCTGTCGATGACGAAGGCGTAAAGGTTATCATTAGCGTTGGTGCTAAGAGGCTCTCGGCTTACCTGAACAAACGTAAATACCCCTCCGCGTCACCTGATGCGAGCATATCGTGTGCCGCAGACCGACTGCAGGTGGCTATGATGGTGTTGGCGCTGCTGTAATAGCGATTGCTCCACTGGCCGGCAACCAGGAAACCCACTGTGCAGTTGTTGGTCAGCCACTTGACGTCTTTCATTGCAATGGGACTGCGCTCTGGCGACAGCGACTTGGCGTCCCAGAACAGTAAGTCAAAATCAATGGTCACGGTCTGGACAAAGTTGCCGTCCATGCTCCAATCGAGGTGTGTCAGTGGCTGCGAGCCGCGTATCTTGTTAACTTTCTTGTAGGAGAAACCGTCACGCGAGACACGGAAAAGGTAAATGCTTCCGTTTTGCGAGCCCATGGCAATCATATCGCCGACTGCAAAAGGAGACAGCAGCAGTTAGATAAAGCGAGACAGAATATATTATATCGTCAAGCATACCCTGATTAAAGGACACACAGTTCAGAGGTGAGCCGCATACACGCAGCGTCAGCATCACCGCCCCGTTGTCACAGTTGATGACCAGCAGGTGGCCCTCGGTGCTGCCAGCAGCTAATGCCGTGCCAAACGGATGGAAGGCCAATGCCACGCACTCGTAGCCCGTTTGTATGGTCCAAATGAGTTTGTTCTTACGCCAGAGCGCGACATGCTTGTCATGGCCAGCCGTGGCATAAAGCTCATCCTCGGGATGCGCGGCGAGGCCCCACAGCTGTCTGCCGTGACCAAAGACGACTTGCGTAAAGCGTCGCTGCAGCGAGCCCTCCAAGATGTTGTTTCGCGTCGTACCCACGTAGATGTTGCCATCGTTGCGGCCTGGCCGCTGTGGGTAAATTGTCCGCACGCCACCGGCCGCTTCGGGAAGCTTGGGAAGTAACACAACGATTATAGTCCATAGATGTTAAAACAATGAAGCACATTTCCTACCTTTGTGTCCGCAATTTTCTTGTAATTTTGCAGCGAGTCCCAGGCAGCAATTTTGCGATCCTTTTCGCCACCCGACAGCAAAGTGCCCTCGCCCAACATAATTAGGCAGCCGATGCCCTTGTTGTGGGCCTCGAACTCGGTGCGCACAAAATAGGCGCCATCAGAGTCCACGGAGTATATGGTAATGAAGCCGTCGGAGTCGGCGGTAATCACATCGCCATCCGGCTCAAACTGAACGCTGGTAACGTGTGAGCGCGACGGCTGCTTGACAATGTCTGTGCGCTCAAAGAAACCATCTTTGCGTCGGTGCCAGAAGGCCAAATGACCACGTCCGTGGGTGATGATTAGATTATCGTCCAAGGGATGGAAAGCGGCGCCGGACAAGCCCTCCTGCAGAGTCTGCCAGTACGAAAGTAAAAATTAATCCCTGATGTTAAAGAGGAATGTATATTTTAAGCAACTTACGGCAACTTTGCCCAACAGGTGGCCCCATTGCCACTGCCAAACGGACAGGATGCTCTCCCGGCCACTGTCCACGGCAAGAATATAGCTGCCGCCGTTCTGAAAGTGTTTTGTGAAAGTCTTGTTGGCCAGTTGAATTAAATTTGAAGAGCCTTACCAGTTGCGAGAAGGCCACCGCGGTTACTCCAGTGTCCAGCTCGCCCATTCCAAAGACGTAGAGCGTCTGCAGCGATTCGGTGCTCCAAATGCGGACATGGGCCTGTGACTTGCGATCCCGTCCGGCCTTCTGGCCCGATGCCACCAACTCACGAGAGGGATGCACGTCCATGCTATGTGGTGTTGGTAGGCATAATATGAGATCCGGATTGGGTTTTCGACAACTCCCACTTACCACATTATGTCCTCGGTGTGGCCTGTGTAGTGCCGCTGCGCATCCTCGTCGCGATCAAAAAGCACCGCCACAGCTGCCACGTAGTAGAGGAGCTCTCCCGTTGGCAGCACCCACAAGTTGCGCCGCGCATCGATGCCTCGATAGCCGTGGCTAAATTGAGATTGAGCAGAAGAGGAATCAGTATTCATGCGTTAAGATTCGTCGTGGGTAATTAACTACTTACACCCACTGGAGCTGTAATTTCTTGTCGGGAGGCGAGTTCTCTGCCGGCGCATGGTGCACAGGGGGATAGAAAGTGCGCCGCAAGCCGCGTATGGTAACTTTTGTAGGCTCCTCTTTCATGATGTCCAGCATGGTGTACTCTCCATTCGGCCTCAGTATCTCGCTCTCCGGCGCATAGAGTATGCGCGGCCGGCTCTTGCTGCGTGGCCGCGTGCCACGCAATGGAACCTT